GGAAAAAAAATGTCCTTCTTGTGCTATAGATTTATCTCGTCATAGAGCATTTTTTACAACAAAAAAGTCCTTTAAAAAATTCCTAATGGAGAACAAAATACTGTAAATTTGATAATAACAAAATTACAAATCTGATTAACAATTTTTTAAACTATTTTTCTTTTGTTTTTTTTTCCACCGTGCCTTATTAACTCGTGAGAAATATTTATTAATATTTATTTACTCCCATATTATATAATAAAATTCAACTTTTTTTTGATAATTTGTAAATCAAGTTTTAAATCTTAATTCGTTGTTAGTAAAAAAAATGATTTTATGAGTTAAAAACGATGCAAAAATAAGATTAAAATTAAATAAATCTTCTTAATATGGTTGCTTTTAGAGTATGGATGAAAGCATTTAACTTAAAAGGATTTAAAAGTCTGTAAACAATTAATTTTTATACGAAATTTAAAAGTTAATAAATGAGATTCTATATAGATTTTTATACGAATTTTTATATGTAGAAGCCTAAATAATTTATCATTGATAATAGATTATTTGTAGATGTTTATATTTGTTGAATTTTAAATAACATTTATCTGATTACAAAACTTCAAAGTAAAATATAAAAGAAATAATATAAAAAATCTTAGTTTTAAAAACATTAATCTATTTTTAATCTTGTTTACTAGACTTTAAAAATATCAAATCTTTCCAGTTTAAATATAAATTCCGAGTATTATTTTTCTCTTAAATGGAATGCTGAAAACAATTCAGTTATTTCGCTCTAAAATAAATTCTATTTATATTTTTAAATTGATCTTAATTAATAAACACTAAATTTAAATATATAATAATAATAACTCATTCAGTTACCTTATATTAATTTTAATACTACTTATAATCATAGAGGATTGTGCATTATAGAATAGACTTTTTGAATGCTTAACGATAAAAAAATAATAATAATAAATTGTGTTTTTATTGAAATATCAAGCTGTAAATTAATAAGAAGCGACGGAGTATATTATGAAATCATATAGATATTTTGTAAACTATTACAAGTTTTTTCTTTTAATATTATCTTTCTTGTTTTTTATCTCTCGTTCTTTCACACAGTTAAAGCATGAAACATTAACTGTTATTAACTTTGCGAAATCCAAAAGAGAGAAAAACACTTATCAAAAAATCTAATATAGTTCTACGTCTATTCGGCACCGAAAGTATTATATATCTTACAAGATGGTCATTGAATGTCAGTTTAATCCACTTCATCAGATGATACCAAATATGTGGTTCATAACGATGAGTGTTCTTCGTGAATTTCTTGAAATGTTTGATATTTTTAGATACGGTTTCCAAAATGTCAACGTATCTTCCATTATTTTTTTCTGCCATTTCAAATATTTATGAATTTCTAGTCGTATGCTTTCTTTGATAAAATATGAACTTCAGAAAACATTACATTTACCTTCTTTTTTTAAATGATATTTTACTTTTTGTATATGTCAAAGTCCTATGTCTTCAGTCGGATTAGAAATGACAACTAGGACATAATCAAGATGGATGAAGGATTAAACTGTTATTTAGAAAGAAAAATTTACAGATTAAAAACTTTACTGTTTCTGCAAAGAAGAGGTTTTTTTTCTATGTATTTTTCTATTTTAATTAACATTAAAATGTGTATTTTTTATATTTAAGTATCTCCCTTCTTTCTGTTATGATTCTATTACGTGTCGTTTCATTTTCTCTTTTATCTTCTTCTACTATAAAAAAAAATTATATTAAAATCGATAAAGTATCGAATATCAACACTGTATCGAGATACTTTTAAGTATTCTCTGATGTTGCTTTTGGTAAGAAAATTCGAATTTTTAACATTAGAATGCTCCCTAGAGCGCTCGAATCTAAGCAAAATATTGAGTAGCAGATGCCCTAAGGTTGATAGTTTGCCTCTTGGGTAAACACCTTAAGACGATTGATGATGTACCTGGAAGGAAATTGCTTACTCTACTTGAACTCTGAACTGTAGTAGGACAGGTCGATTACCAGAACTCTGCTTCTCTTCGGTTTAAGAACTATCGTTAATACACATTGGAAACCGATCTGGAGTCTCCTTCATTGTTATCTACTAAAAGTGTGAAGTAAGAAACACGGAGATACATTTGTTATCGAAGAACCCATTACCTTAAGTATACTTCTTTTTTACCAAATATAAAAAACATCGTTTAGTTACAGAATGTTTATTCAGCAATGATAAGAAATAAAGTGATTGTTTTAGTTGCCTCATCCTTTTACATTATACACAGTCGATAAGATTATTTTTATTACCCTCATAAATTATTTTCATAAAATAACCTAATCAATATAACTTAATGAATGAATTCTTTATTTTTACAACTGTGTTGTTGTTTTAGTTTACAATAATTAAACGTAATTAAAGTAAAAGATATTGTTTAAAGAATCTGATGTACGACGAGAAAACGTTGTACATGAAATTAAATTAGGAAAAAATAAACAAAATTTTATTGATTTTTTTCACTAATTTAATTCTGTTAAAAATTTAATTAAAGATTTTCTTCAGATTCATTGATGGCAAAATGCGATGAATGAATTACTGTTGATTAAATCTATAAATTGGTTAATTAATGCTGTTTGTACTTCAAAAGATATTGAACTTTTTCTGAATAAGTTTACATTCCATACGGTTGTAACATTTTTTCTTTCTCATTAACAATAATGCTGTGTTACTTCCAGCAGAATGCATTACTTAAGAGTTAGAACTTATTGAATAAGTTATATTCATTTCGTGGGAGCTATCATCATCATCATCCTCTTAGAGTTATTTAGGGTTGGTTGATTGTTCCGGTTACAACATATCGCTTCCTTAAGCGATCATCTCCTTCCTTCTTGGATGATATCGTCTTTGAGTGAGTTATGGCGAAAGTAGAGATGATAAAGAAGTAAGTAATCTGCTGATTAATCAAGTAAGCTATAAAAACATGTTAGACATGATACAACAAATTGCTCTTTTCTAGAGCGTTGTTTCTAATATGGAAAAGTTTAATCGGTTAAAGACGTGTTCAAAACAATTGTCGTACGATTGTATCGCGTCACGAGATTATGCCTTTTATTCTCACTTTACATACAATTATTCTTTATTATTTGTATTAAAAAAAAGACATTTAAACATTTTATTCGTGCTGAAAATTATATAACGTATAGAAGACCCGACAATACGTCAATAGTGTCGCATCGTGATCGCTTCACCCTACCTTAATTTACTATTCTGTATATTATCGCATAAAATTTGTTTTATAGGATATAAAAGTCATTATAAATTAATTACCACGCTTTTATTCAATTTAAACAGATAAATATTTTCAAAATAAGTGAATTTCATCAACTTTCTTACTGTAAAACCTCCATAACACCCTTCTATATTTAGAATCCAACTAACACACAATAAGACCAATAATTCACATACAATTTTAAATTTAAAAACAAAAATCAATCCTTGTATAAACTAAATTCCAACAAAATTTAACGAATAAATGTAAAACTTTAATTACTTTTTACTATTAGTACAAAGGTGTACTTTGCAAGCCGATCTTCATCTCAGGAAAAGCAGACAATCGCACTAGCTTATGCAAATTTGGAAGTCGTTTAACTGATTACGTAAATAAAGTTCATCCTGCGTAACATAGCTATGCAGTTGTTATTTAGAATGGATACATTTAAAGTCGTAAATTACTGCATATCTTTAAGTTCCATTAAGTATATACAGTTTGGTTTTGTTGATATTCTGTAACGTACTTATATAGATATGAAAGAAAAGTTTGAAGAAGGATTTGTGAGAAGGATATTCTCGTTCTTAAAGTATTAAGAAGTTACAACTTTTTTATTGCGGAATGATAGTTATTTTTTTTCCATAAATATTAAAAAAGTCATCGTTTTTATATAATATTTATTGCGAAAATTACGATAAAATTGATTTATTTTTTTTCTTCTTCCAACTTAGCTATTTATTTCTTAATAATCAGCAAATAATAATAATTTCTCCTCTCGTCTTTGGTATGTACTAAAGAAGAAAAAATATAAATTATTCATAAAAAGAAAAAATATATATATATATTAAAATATTATTTAAAAATTTAAAGTTAAATCGAGCGTATCTTGAGCTTCTAAATAAGGAAATTATTTTTTAATTTCCTTATTTAGAAAATTAAATTTTATAAAATAAATATCTTGATATATTTATAAAGAATAAATTTAATTAATTAAAGGTTTTCTTGTGTTTACTATTCTTTCATAATATTAAAAATAATTTTTTCATAATTTTGATGTGTAAAAAGAATAAAAACTTTATAACAAAATACAAAATATAGCTGAAATTTAATTAAGGGTTTTATTTAAAAAACAGTTTCGTTAATATGGAAAAATTATTAATTATATTAATACAATTTACAATTTAATTATAACAAAAGTTAATATTAAATAACTTTATAAAGTTAAAAGCAATAGCATAATATAAATTATAAATTCTAATGACATTATATCTGATTTTAATTAAATTAATTTTAATTTATGTAAAATAATAATTAAATTTTCATATTTTAATTATAATAGAATAAAACATTAAAAGTAAAGAAAGCAGCAAGTTAATATGAAAGAAAAGATTGTTAACATTTTCTATATATAAATGGAATTAATTAATCAACTAAATTATTAATCATTTTACATGCCATCCATTGTCAGATATCGTTAAATTACACGTGTAGTAAACAGAATAGATACGTAAAAAGGAAAATTAAACGTAGATTTATAGCCGTAAATAGAAAAAAATGAAGAAGAATGAGAGTAATCATCATTCACATGATGCTTCTGTTTCGTAAAGTTTAAAAAATTTCAGCATCGTCCAAATAGGCAATTCGAAATCACACCACTTTAATTTCTCGTATACATCAGAATTGTAATGTATAACTATTACTTAGTGTTTTGCTTTGTTTTCTCCATAGTGCCTCCGAGAGAAGCAATCATAATGGATGAGTTTGGCCAACACCTTCACGGCATCATCGGACCGTACAATGAAGGATATCCTCTATCTCTAATCTGCGAGGGTGAAGGAGGTAAGAAAGAAGCTATTCCCTAGAACTACACGGACGGGGGAAAAAAAGAAAAAAACCACTTTCCATCACCATTTATCATTTTTCTTCTTTTGCATGCAGTTTTTGCCATTAGGTAAGCCTGAGGAAATTTTTAGATAACGATACTCGTTTTTGACTCGTATCAAATGGTTCTCGAGGGTAGTATTCTACTAGGTTTTCTTGTTTTAAACATATTTTTGCCTAATTCCTGCAAACTTTTATACTACTCGAACTTATATAGCCGCATATGGAATTGGTCCAAAACTTTGTTTGGTGCTTTTTCTTACTACTTTAATAGATAGTATTCTCTCATTCAAGTCATTAGTCAAACGAATTTTCTCTTATTCCTGTTATCTTAAACGCGAATGTCGAGCCCATGTGACTTTTACTCATTAATGGAATAGTGGAAGTGGCAGACAACCAATTGCCTTTGGCACCTGGGTGCTTCGGAACGGGTTTCGAATGGCAGACGTCTGTAACAGCCAGCAACATTTAATGGAAGTAGGAACAATGCTTACAGTTAAAATAGTTTTCAGTGGAGTAGATTGATATCTGAATGGGGAGAGATAAATAAATCATGAGCAATTGAATTGAGGTAATATGAAACTAGAGTGAGACATAACAAGATTATTGTAGAATAAAACTGAAGCCGAGTTGAATAAATTGTTTTGATAACTAAAGATTATTCTAGCGTTGTTAAAAACACCTGGTTTTTCGTAATAGATATTAAAAAATAAGTTTTTTTCATTTCCTAATTTTATTAATAAAATGATCTTGCTGACGATGAGAGAACATTTCGTTGAATTTATGAAACTAAATGGATTTTTAATAGTTCAAATTAACTATCGACGGTTGGTTTTTATAGGTCGAATAATTTTTCCCTTCCTTAAAAGAATTTAGTTATTAATGCTAAGCGATGAAACGTCATGTTCCATAATTGATTAAATTATTTCCGTTTAATTTGTAGATGAATCTAAATGAAAACTAATGAAATGTTTGCATGCGAAGAATATAACTAAATATGCTACAGATATAAGATGGAATACGTAAATTAACTGATGAACATGTATACTTTTCAAACATATTTTATAGAAATAACTAACCGAGATATAAGCTTATATAAAATAATTAATCAATAAATATGAATATCAAAGAAAAAACTTACATATTTAAGTTATAAGATTAAATAAATTTAAACTGATTTTAAAATTATAATGTAAATATTTTGTAGTTTAGAAGAGGATTTTAGCGTATAAAACAGCCAACGGAGAAAGAAAAAAATTACTTTATTTCACTTTTTTTTTCTAATTGTAATTTGTTTTCTAGGAGACCCTCCTCCGAAAGTCACATGGTGGAAAGATTCGATTCTAATAGATGATACATATACACTCACACCTCAGCACTTCACCAGGAATGAATTACACTTTTCTACTATCCGCCGATCTGATCTGATGACAGTTCTTACTTGCCAAGCAACCAATTCCAACTTTACAGCTCCAGTTACTAGTTCTGTCACTTTAGATTTAAATTGTAAGTATTTCAGCCAATTTAAAATAAAATATAACTTTCTCGAATGTTGTTTACCCATTTGATTTTTGTTTCTTTTTAACGAATGTTTTTGAAACAATGTATATTATACTACAAATAATTGAACGGTAATGTTTTTAATTCAATTGGAAATATTTTCAGTATTTTAATTTTCTGTAAAAAACAACAGAAGAGGGGGAGGAAACAATAGTAAATTTTTATTTTTTTTTATAATATAAGGAGTAATTTATGTTGCTTTGTTCATTAAAATTCTGAAGTGTTGTTAAAATGTACTTCATTGGGAAACCATTAAGTTTTAAGAACATTAACTTTCTGAAAAACTAAAGTTATCTAATAACAATTTTCGTTATTATTTTCTCTGATTTTTATTTTATCGTTTTCTTATTTTCTTTCTTTTCTTGCATTCTTTTTTTTTTCTTGTTTAACTTTCAGAATTGAATTTGAAAAACAAGAAATAAAAATAAAAATTTTACCATGTTGATCTTAAAATTCATCGATTTTCATCAACAGTCGTGAATCTTCCACTTGCTTAAAGTAAAATAAAATGGTTTTGTATTCAAATAAAAATTTGTAGAAATATTTTAAATCACGAAATAAATTAAAAAGTACCTATATATATGTAAATTTTTCAAGTATAAATTGATTTTTTTTTTTACTAATTTTTGAATAAAAATTTAATAAAAGAAAAAATTATTTAAAAGAACACTCTTCTTATCTCTTAAACAAAACAACAATCTTTAAAAAAATTATGATAAAAAGAAAAACAATTTCTTAAGTAATTATTGTTTTAACAATTTTAATTTTCTACAATCTTTAATTTACAATTGTATGTATTGTACTGTAGTACATAACGTTTTGTTACAATCATTGGTTGTATTTAATGGAAAGTTTAGTTGAGAAAATTGCTTTAAACATTGCATTTAATGTTCGCTCATGTGTTTTCGTGAACAAAACTAGTATCAAGAGAATTACTCTTTTGTTACTTGATATTTTCTATTAAATTATTCGCACACTTTTACTTTAAAAACCTTAACTTGGATTCTGTATTGAGCAATGTTAAAATATCTCTCCTTGTTTATAATTTAATATTATCAAGAATTCTTTTCTACTAAAGTAAACAACGTCATGGTTTTTCATTACTTAAATTGATTCCGAAAAGAATTTTTGTATTTTGATAATGTGAACGGAAAATGTTCGGTTGATGTTCTTTTTTTTTTTAAATCGCAAACTTTGTACGTAATCAAGGTAATGTTAAGAGAAGTTTAGGAAAAACCTTGATTAATTTTAGATTGGAAATTTTTTTTTATCCTCCCCTTTCTAATCTTTGCTAAAGATTCATTGTAAGAATGGATGTTTAAAGCATGTACTGTTTCTTTTACAGAATTAAAAAGATCTGGTTTACGATCTTCCTTTAACTTTTTTCTTATCTAAAAACTGTTTACTATGCTATATGATAAATTAATTTTATAATTAATTCTATAAAAAAAAAGTTTATTATTCGTGAGACACAGCTTCTGATTGGTTGAAAGCAAAGGAATACCTAAAACCAGTTTCGAATATAAAATTGGTTTATAGAAAATAATAAATGAGAAAGGAAAACAATTTTAATATAAATTAATGTTTATGTATATAATAATAAAAGATATACTTAGTTGTAGTTGATTTCGCTTCTGATTTTAGCAAAATTACCCAGAAAAATTTTTAATTTTCTAATCCATTAAAATTAGAATTTTCGTATGGAGAGCTTAGGTTAAAGGTGATTTTGCTCGAATTAATTATGGCAATTAACTACAACTAAGAGTTTCGACTCGCTGATTAAACGAAACTCGATAACTTTAAAGTGAATGAAACAAAAAGAAAAGAAGAAAAATAGTAAAATTATATAAATACAATTAGAAAAAAAAGAAATATATTCTTGCATTTAACAAAGAAAAAAAAAATTAATAAATTTCGAAACAAGACAACAGAAATTAGTCACGTAGTGAGAACCACGTGTCAATGTGCTCCTTTGCTTGCAATACTCTTTCTATGTAGATTGCTTTTGACGAGAGAGCAAACGGACAAAGAAGTGATACAAATTCCTTTGTGCCAGTGAGGCCTTTAGACGTAAGGATCCATACTGCCTATCGTCCCGTATCTGTCGGACAGGAGGTGGAATTGGTGTGCCAGTCGCAAGGTGCACGACCCCCAGCACAAATATCCTGGTGGAAGGGAACCGAAAAACTCACCCAAGTGAGGGAAACAACCATTCGAGAAGACAACCTAACAATCAGTGTCTTGACCTATGTGCCTACCATTAGTGACAACGGGAGGAATCTGTCGTGTCGTGCAGATAACCCTCAGCTGAGAGACAGCGAAATAGAAGACGTCTGGTTCCTCGATGTTTATTGTAAGTATTCATTTATTCAATGTGTGCTTTGCACTTTCACACTGTCCTCTATTCTCATACAATATTTATTAAGCTTGAAATTGTCATTATGTTTTCTTTTCTCAATACCTGATTATCTAACAGCGAAATCCACTCAACTCGACATTTAGATGCAGTTTATTCTTGATTAATTTACATTTAATACTAAACTCAATTGAAAACTTACTTTATTCGCATTTTCTATTTGAATTTCCCCACAAATATAACACGAATGCTATTCTTAAATAATACTACTGTATATAATATATGATGTTTACCCATTTGATTTTTGTTTCTTTTTAACGAATGTTTTTGAAACAATGTATATTATACTACAAATAATTGAACGGTAATGTTTTTAATTCAATTGGAAATATTTTCAGTATTTTAATTTTCTGTAAAAAACAACAGAAGAGGGGGAGGAAACAATAGTAAATTTTTATTTTTTTTTATAATATAAGGAGTAATTTATGTTGCTTTGTTCATTAAAATTCTGAAGTGTTGTTAAAATGTACTTCATTGGGAAACCATTAAGTTTTAAGAACATTAACTTTCTGAAAAACTAAAGTTATCTAATAACAATTTTCGTTATTATTTTCTCTGATTTTTATTTTATCGTTTTCTTATTTTCTTTCTTTTCTTGCATTCTTTTTTTTTCTTGTTTAACTTTCAGAATTGAATTTGAAAAACAAGAAATAAAAATAAAAATTTTACCATGTTGATCTTAAAATTCATCGATTTTCATCAACAGTCGTGAATCTTCCACTTGCTTAAAGTAAAATAAAATGGTTTTGTATTCAAATAAAAATTTGTAGAAATATTTTAAATCACGAAATAAATTAAAAAGTACCTATATATATGTA